ATTCTTCTTGTCTCGGAAATTGATCTTTGAGTGCTCACAATTATAGTGCTTTTTGCTGCTTTTGACAAAGTCTTCCACAAAAGTGACAGAGCTGGGTCCATACAGGCGGTTGCTAATCTTCCAGGTGATGTTGCGAGTCTTTGGGTCGCTCAACTCTATGAGCAGCTCAGCCAAACTGGGGTGGAGATGCTCATCTTTAACTTTAGCTACATTCAGGATGGTTTTTACCTGAGAGGCAGTGGAGGCCTTTCCCCCAAGAGCCACAAGACCCAGAGAGGAGGCCACGACGACAGGGGAAATGATAATGTTCTCTACATTTTTGTCTTTTACCATGCTCTGGTAGACACTGAAAGCCAAATTGGCAGTGCTGTCAGCCAGGATGGTGGCATGGTTACTCAACACTTTGTCTTTTGATGTGGAGGTTGCTGCCGAGGCTGCAGTTGTCAGAAGGACGAGAGATACGAGGTTTGTTGCCCACATGGTGTAATGTTACTAAAAGACAAAACCTAAGAGAAGACATGAAGACAAACAGTACATACTTAGGGTTTACTCTTGAGATTTAGAAGATGCAAGCTGTGGTAGGCTAGTAAGTGTGGTTTAGCCCATGCCATTTAAAGCAGCTCTCTGTGCAAACCTCAAGCAATGACTTGTATAACAGCCACGTAGGCAGCTTCAGGGTGCACTGTGTCTAAGCCAAAACATTGGTCAGCAAGATTTGAGTTGTTCATGACTTGGGAGTGGGAAAAAACTTAACATACATAACATTCTCTAATGGAGGACTAAGTCTGGTTGATGCTCATTGGTTACTTGTGGTGAGGGAAAAGTGGCCACTCACTGACGCATGACACACCCCTACAGCAAAAGACGCGTTTTTTAGAGCAGTTCATGTACATAGAGCGAACGTGTACTTTAGGGAGGACAGGCTTTATGCATATCACCACTTAGAGATGTAGTTCAGAGATGTTTACATCAGTCTAATTGAGCAGGTCACAAGCAGTTCATTTTTCTGGACATGTGACTTAGTATGAATGACACTGGCATTTAAAACATGTAGATAAAAGAAGGAGAGGCGTCCCTTGTTACAGATTAAATCAGGTCAAAAGGTGTAGCCAACTCCCTGAAAGTCTGGACTGTCATGCAGTTCTAGTTATGTGCAGCAGTTGCTTTGCTTTCGCACTACTTGGAGGAACTACATGGCTGTAAAGGAATCTTTAACCATGTTAAAGATAGACAGACTTTTTGGCCTCTTTTTACATGCCTGGACATTTCCCACCAGTTGATGGACGCCCTCTACTCTCTCCCTCCCTCTCCATGCTTCCCGTGCTCCGAGCACATTCATCTTACCTTATTGGGTCCTTTGAATAACTCGGCAGGTTTATCGTCAAGCTGCTTACAAAAAGATCCCCCCAGCACTGACCTGACCGGTATTAAGTGAAAGTATCTGATGGCAAAGACAGAAGTGTATGAGACGATTTCCCAGGCCCCAGAGCATGAAAATCTCTGCCCTGGAATCAGATTTCCAGGCCAGTCCCGCCCATGTGGATGAGTGGGTGAAGAATCCTCACCCTCCCAGGTCCTAAAGCCTAAAACTTTATTTCACGGAGAGTAATCAAACAGTTAACACTTAAATACTCAACTTACCATCTCATGACCTCTACTAAAGTTACTCCCCGTGACTAACTGTATAAGACCTCCCAATCATTAACAAAATCTGCATAATGTATGTTGTACTTTCAGTAACAGAGAGGCGTCTGGCTGAAGAAACCAGTATGCATAAATATAGTCCTGTTTATGTGGTAGCTTCATTACTGTTCTTCTTCACGATAAAACGACATGCCTGCCAGCGCAGGTGTTTTTGCCATAGTGGCAATTAACTGTCTTTATAATTATCTCAGTATTTGCCCCCCCTCAACTTTTTTTCTCTCTCTTCCTCATCCTGTTCTTTCCTCCTCTGTTGCATGATTTGAAAGCCGCACAGACCACTGGGCAGCGGAATGTGGAGAACACCACTGAATACAACAGGAAGTTCTGTGAAGCAGTACAACTGCAACTAAAATCAACATTAACTAGATATAACTGCCGGGTACATATTACACAATAAGAAGACTGACTGTCCAGAAAGTAGTTTGGCAGGCGTTTGCACTTTAGTATTGCTGTAAGTGGTGAACTCTGTACACAATACCGTCAGATTAAATCTGCAGAGATGGTCTGATTTTCAGAACAAGCTTCACTAAATACCATATCTGATTCTTTCTGATAGCTGTGTCAGTAGTCAAAACAGTATTTAGGCCCCATACTGTCTGAGTAGCTTTTTCCCCCATGAATCCTTCCTTCTTCCTCGTGTCATGTGCACTCTCACACTCCCACTTCTGTGTTTAGAAGTGGATCAGACAGCAGGAAGTTACAGAAGCAGTGGAAGCACGTCCGGTATAACACTCTCCTTGTGCTTTTACAGCACGCTGTTCTTTCTTGGCAGCGTTTTTCGATATGAATGGTTTGCAGAGAGACGCGGTCATATCAATAGGTAGATCACTCTCATTAAAACATTGCTATTTTAAATACATAAGCTGAGAAAGTCCTTGCAACTATCATTTTTATTACCATTCAAATAAGACAGGATAACAGTAACTGTATCTTTCTCGTGTTTGAGAGACTCTCTTGTTACAGCTGTTGAAATAATAATGTAATAATAATAATAATAACGACAAAACTCTGAGTTGGCAGAGTTGTACACCAGATGCTGTTACTGATGCAAACCTAAAGGGGATTTGTGTCTCTGGCTTGAATCAAACCAGTGACCTTCCGCTTGTGGATTGAATGTGTTACGACTAATGGCGGCAGAAAGATTTCAAATTGACAGTCCTTGTACTTTCCATGGCCACTAGAGGCCAACAAAGAGCTAGTTATAGATAGGAGATGAAAATAAATCCTCTTATTAAGCGTTCCTGCTGTCACTGCCACTACAACCACTTACTCAGCACAGTTTTGTTAATTCATTTCTATACACAAAAACGTGTAGTAGGTTTTCTTTTGTGTGTGTTCATGTGTGTGTTTTAAGCATCACAAATATCAGGCTTTACAAAATCCCTCTCATGGCATTTGTTCACATTCCAATAAAGTTCTTGTCGTCCTCAACATTTGGTTAAAAACGCTGCACCTGAGCGTGCATTTCATGTGCAAAGAAGTTCTAGCTGAGGTACCTTCATTGCCACTGCTAAATTGCCAAGGATTAAAGGGATCTTATGTAATTATCCAAAGCCAAGGGTTAATCTCTGACTGCTGGGCCTGGAATAGCCAGATCTCTTACAAGACTTTACTCATCTCCTCTCCCGCTTTGCCAGGTGTTTAGGTAAGGCACTGCTGCCATAGTCCTCTGTGGCCGTGTACATAATTATGTTCATATTACAACAATCGTTTCAATTGCTTGAACAGTCTGAAAGGAGAATGGAGAGAGGAGTACTGGTGTGTTTCATTCCATGCGTCTCTTTATGCTGAGAGCTTTTTCTGAACACTTAAACTTACAAAAGGCTTTAAAAGGAACTGAATGATGTGAGAAATGTAATGCAGATGCAAATGTCGTGTTACTTTCTAGTTTTTGCTGATAACTCATTTTATCAGTGTGTTTTACAGTCAGTCTTAGCAGGAATTTTACAAATGGTAAAATAGCAGGGATGGGGAAAAATGGTACAATTACAAGAATGATTATGACTCCGTACTTCTGCACCTGCATGTCATCCTTTGAGCCTGAGATCTGGCGGCCGCCCGACCCTGACCCTGTTGTCTGGTAAATTCCAGGAAACGTGGACATTTCCATGAGCCTGATGTCACGCTTCCCTCCTTGGCAACCTCAGAACCCTCCCCTGCAGAGGTTTAATTAAGTCATTTCTCTCACTATGAGCTCTTATCTTGAGCCTCCTTTCCTGAGATCTCCACCCACACTTTAAATGTGCAAATGTCCCTCAACTCCCTGAGAAATGTGAGATAATTCCTGTCACATTTTTCCTCTTTGTCCGATGATCTCTCCCAGTAACCAAATGTGTGCATCTTGGTTGATTCAAGATACCTTGTCGTCCCCTTCTGCATCTCCCTCTGCCCTCAGCAAATTCTAATGTGTTACATTTTGCTTTGTTTTTGTGTGCAGAGAAGAAGTAAAGATGCACATTTGTAGCCACACATTGTGAACAATAATCCTAAAGCTTGTAGTCTTAAAGTCCTCTGAAATTATTGAAGAGAATATTTTTACATAGTTTGATTTTTGCATCATTACAAAGTATTTCTTGTCATATTTATGGAAAGTCTGCACTAAAAGAAAACTCAATCTGAAGCCTTCTCAGCTTGGAACGAAGGACTATTTGGATAGTTTTCAGTTTAAATTTTGAGAGAAATAAAAAATTAAATTCATTACTGTGGATTTAAAAATCTCAGATTTATTTCATTTGTAAAATGTAAATTCCAAAGGTGTTTTATATATAAGACATACACTATATATTTATATTACATATAAGGTATTATTTCAGAAAACCCCCTTGAATTAAAACCGAAAACCTGAACTTTATTCGCATCTTGATTGTTTCATTTAAAATCCACAGCAGTGATGCACAGAGGGAAAACTACAGACACTGTAAAACTTTGTCCAACAGATTATGGACCTAATTGTTGTTCAGATAAGAGGATTTTTATATCCAGCACATTTGGCTTTTAGCATTAGCATTTTTGGGCTATCAGTTGCCCAAAAATGTGCAGCAAATTTCTCACTGGGATCCACTTACCGGGATCTCCAGACCCACTCAGAGTGAAAGTGCTGCTCAGGTCCACTTACCCGACAGAGAGAGAGAAGTTACCCCACTGCAAGAAATACCCCACATTTCAACAGGTGCTGCCGTGCATTGGTCAGGTGTAAAAACTGCGGAGACAGGATGTTTCTTGCAGTGTGGGCCACAGTTCCGCCCACGGAGTGTCACAGGGATTACAGTTAGTATTCACTCTGCTATGAACGCTAATGTAGGTGCATCTGTATCCAAGCAGAGGCAAGCCTTCCATTTATTACAAGGGTTGTTTTTTCCCCTCTCCTTTCTCCATTAGCTCTCTTGTCCGGATATAAAACACACTGATGCCGCTGCGTCTCTCACACTGCCACTCAAAGTAACCTGAAAGTCTTGTGTGGATCCATAAACTGCGAAGAGACGGCGTTATGTCAGCATCCATGGAAATACTGACTAACTAACAGAGGGACTGAGACTTTTCCAGCAGTGCCAGTGAAAAACAGCCTGTAGTGAAGACGAGGTGAGTGTTTGTGCGCTTTATGGGATTATTGTCGTGTAAGCCAAGTGACTGCTCCTCAGAACTGTCACTTGCATCGCTTTGTTTCTGTTGTGCGATCAGTTGGTGACACTAAATTGAGTGATCTGTCCCGTTTGTCCCCCACAAATAATCTATTTTTCCAATACATGCTTATGTTAATTTCGTGTAATTTCGACATAGGCACAGATAAATGGCAGATGAGGCAGCTAAAGATGAACATACAGTCTGTGCGTGATATTAATCGAGTAAACTGTAATGAATTGACAGGCTAGAGCCAGAAGTCCACAGGTGAATACTTTCAAACTATTTGGATAACTGAATAATTACTTTCTTTCTTTGAATGCTGAGCCCAGCGTCCCAGTTATGGCGCATTACTTTAATAGAACTGGAAGTATTATAGCCTTTTAAAGACTTTCATGGACAAAATGATTAAATGATCTGAATGTCAGATTAATAAACAGTGAAAATAATAGATTCATGTCTAACTGACATTGAATTAGGTATGAAACATTGAATTGTGTTGTTGTGCTGTCTTTACCTTCGAATATAAGGCGACTTTAGAATGTGAGGCGACTGTTGTTGTGATTTGGGGCTACATACTGAATTGAATTGAATTCTTGAAAGCCATTGGACCAGGTTTAGTAAATGTTGTGAGACTGTAAATTACAAAACTGTTAAGCTAATTTTTCCCAAGTGAAGCTTTAAAGTTACAACATCATCATCTATCGAACTTCATAAACTTTAATTGCACCTGTTTCTTTCTCTTTGTGCTTCCAAATGTGAGTGGAAGACATATCTGACCATCAGTTTTTATCTGTCGGTGTATCCTGGCCATCCTGCAGCATTACCTCCGTTATTTGTCACATTTAAATCACATTTAACAAATTAAAGACTGCCTCGTGAGACTAGCAGGTGCTGCTTGGATAGGAGAACTAGATCTCACTCTAAAAGATGTTTTTTCTGATCACCTGATGATCAGAGCTCACTGGTTACCAGAGAGGCTTTGTTTCTAGCCCTTGCCCCACTCCTCCTCCTTTTGAGTGCATAACATGTATGTGACACTAATGGAAATTCTATTTTGGGCAAAACCCACTGAAAGATTAGAGTATTATTAATGAATGCATATATAAATTTCATGAAGGAGTGAAGAATGGAAGCTTAAAAAAAGGAAACAGTGACCGAGATAAAGGGCTAATAATAGGCAGATATGGTAGTGGCTCTGTGGCAGTTGGTGGATTGAGATTTAGTGGATTATTGTATTGTTATTCAATGAGCGCATGTGTCCAACTCAACAGACAACCTGTGGCCTCACAGGCTTCCAGAAAGTAACCAAGCTACTTCTAGAAGCTGGCAACAAAGCAAAGAGAGGAGTAAAGTCCTCTCAGGTGAAGGGAATGTGCATGGGAGAAAATTCGCCCAAAGCCATCTGAAAGGCTGGCGAGAAGGAGAGCTGATGATAGAAGGACCCGGGTGCATTACAGATTTAAAATGAGACGTTTCCAGGCTTGTGCTGTCCTGAAACAATGGACACACTGTAATATGTAACAGAAGTTAAAAGAAACAAGAGAAGTTTCATTAATATTTAATAACATATTAGACCAGCGAGTCCAGCAGCACAGCACCTGCTGCTGTAAGTATCAGCAGGATGCAGCTGCTGTAATGAGCTAATACTGATGACTCATTACAGCCCATTTTCTATAGACAATGTCATAAACCACACTGCACTCCTAATTATCATTTAACTAGTGAAAATAACTAATAGTGAGTCAATGCAGTTTCATCAGAATTTACATTTACTAGTCAGGACTGTTGTTGTGTGCTTGTTCACACTGTTTTTACTCAAACTTTAGTCAAACTTTCACTGCAAACATTTAACTGAAGGAGTATTCAAAGCTGTCTTTTGTTTCCCCTTGAACGATGGTTAAAGTCATTATTGCGGGACTACGTTACCTGTTGCCTGGCTCCAGACCTTTGAACGTTTCATATCTATTGAGATTACTGCTTTTATCTTGTGTCGTGTCACAAAACAGCAATTTTTAGGTTTAAAAAAAATAGATGAATAGATAAATACATAAAATATAAAATAAAAAGTCTGTCCAATAAGTGTCAAAGCAAACGGTGAAACACCCCTGAAAACAGAGTAATAGCAGAATTCAGGTGAGGCTGCTCATCAGTGTTGGTCTCTGTTTTAAATCGAGTGAAAATGTGTTTCCACGTATGCAGTGTCAGAGTGAACTGCATGTGATATGCTCACAATTCTGTCTGTCATCAGGCTACTTTACTTTGGTTGCACCGACTCTACCTTTTGTTGGAGCTCTGTTAGGATATCTTTTGTTCTGCTGAGCATGGCATTTGTTCTTTGTAATGATTAGCTTGGTCAGAAATATCAGACCACAGTGCTTTAAGCCAGACATCAGCCCATAGACTCTTTATAAACGTTGGACTGTGACATGGGACGTTTTTTTATTACAGGTTTTGAAGCCTCGGTGTTATCAGCTTTTCTTTTTCTTTTTATTTGATAATTTTAAAAAAAAAGATGTTGGAGGGCTGAGTTATCACAAACGGCTCGTGACCTGAATTCATAAGATGAAGGTACCTGCTAATTAGTGCTAAGTAACAGACTAATCACTACTTTTGGTTACTTAACTTTTCCAAAGTAAACCCCTTTGATATATTATTTGTTATATAATTACATTAAAAATGTTCCAAATGGCACCAACACCACAAACTAAGTAGAGAGGCCCAGCGCGGTGATTTGAATTAGTGGAGACAGCTGTAAAAAAAAAAAAAAGCAGTATTGAATAACTGAGCTGTAAGTGGACATTAGAAGATGTGCAGTTTTTGTTGCTTTCACCGTGGCTTAGTTTTCTGTTCCCACATCACTGCTGCTTGTGTCAGAAACAGTTTTCCCTTTTAGCGCACGTACTGAGGCACCACTTCTTGCCAGCAAAGTTTTATTTACTTATGCCCCGTTTATGCCTATGTCACATACAGTATGTGGGTGAATATGAGAAGAGAAAGTATAGTAATTCTGTCCTTCAACCCTCAGAGGTCCAAGCCATCATGGGTGGAAACCCTAAACCATAAATAAAATGCAAGGAGTTATGGAAAATTTTTGAACGTCAGTTACAAATTATTATATAATTTTCCCCCATATTCCTGATAACTGTGAGAGGTGTCTGAATGGTGTCCAAAACTATGAGGAAATATTTTCTCTCTAAAGGAGGGTGAACTCACTGAGAAACTGCACCCAGAATCTGACCGATGTAGGCCGTCCTTAGTTTACTTCATAATGACCACAGCTCTGTGATGATAGCACCACGGTGACGCAGACAGACAATAGGCTAACCTGGCTGGAATAAGCCCACTGTGATTTCAGCTCCAGTTGGCCCTTGTCTGAGGACAGGGTGAGATTATGAATGCTGGAAATCTGCCAGCGCAAGCCTTCTTCAGGCCTGGGAGTTTCCATGTAATAGCCAGGCAGCAATAAAAGGACAGAGATATGTGAACAATTTCCTCTTTAAATACTGTTTATAGTTTTAAATTAGCAGTAAATGGTAGACAAATATTCACACTTAAACACTGAGAAGCCCTGAATACACAGCTCACAGTCCTTAGCGTAAGACACTTTCATTACTCAACAAGTATAGTTTAATGGGGGGGGTATTATGCTGGCTCCAGCTCCACATACAGTTGCTGAGAAGTTTACACAGACTCATCATGGACATGAATGTCATGGTAATTTGCGGCTTTGTTGAACAGCTCTTTCCTGGAATGACTGTAAAGCATGAATCTATAATATAATCTCTAATCTAATCTCTTAATTTCTCCACAACGCCTATTAACCTACTGGTTAATAGTAGTTAATGCTCTTTGTCATCATAAAAAGAATTGGTTTTGGTCTTTTGAACTTATTGAACTGACCAATACTCAGAGCAAAGGGAAAGTCCAAGAAACTCAGTGAAGATCTACACAAGTTTGGAAGGTCTGACGGAGCCATTTCTAAATAATGGCTCCATCAGACAGACAATTATACATAAGTGCAAGACATTCAGATGTGCCATAGCTTTGCTAAGGCCTGGAAAAAGACCCAAACCATCTCCTCAGATGAGAAGCAATTAGTTTATGCATGCAATGGACCGGAAACTGCCTGAACACCAGTGTAACTGTCCACTGTGAACTCTGAGTTTTACATTGCTATGTGTGCCAACCACGAAAGAAGCATCAGTATAATCTGGGACTGTTTTCTTGCTAGTGGTACTGGTGCTTTCTACAGAGGAGACAGACAAAATGCACACACTTAGACACAACTGCGTTTGGGACAATGATCCCAAACACACTTCAAAACTAGTTTTGAAATAGATAAAGAAGGCTAACATTAAGATTCTGGATTCTTCCTAAAGCCACTTAAACTCTGTTAAAAAGAGGACTGTGTTTAAAACTTAGTTCCATCCCAGGAACCCCAGTTAAATGAACTCTACCAATTCTGCCAAGAAGACTGGTTAATTAACCTGGCAGAATTATGCCCAAAGCTTTTTGGTGGCTGTCAAAAGTACAATAAAAAAGTATGACTTGTTTGAAAGTAGTCTTCTAAAAAAATCTATGTTGAAATCAACTGATTACTAAAACTGTCATGGTCCTGCGGCCATGACTGAGTGACTTTGTGTTTGTGTCCCTTATTGTTATTATTCTCTTTATTATTCATGGCTGTTTTGGGATGGTTTGTGTTTTGGGATTTTAGATACTGGGTTTTGGGTTTGTGCTCCCTCTATTGGTCCCTGGTGTTAGTGTTCCCCTGTCTCGTCAGGTTAATCAGGTCCAGCTGTGTCTCCCACCTGTGTGTGATTTCCCAGTGTCTCTCTGTGTACTTATAGTGTGTGTTTGCCTCTGTTCCTCGTCGCGTCGTCTGTGTTCATACCTGGTGTAATCCCCTGCGTGCTCTCCCTGCTGTTCTCCCTTCATGCTCAGGTTTGCTATTTCTTTGTGTAGTTTCTCCCAGTTAGTTCATCCTTAGTTCTGTTTTACCATCCCCACTTTATATTTGATATTATCAATAAATCACCCTCACACCTGAATAAGTGCTGCGTTTTGAGTCCTCCTTCCACTCTCCACACGGCCGCTGCCCCGGACCGTGACAGTACGACGCGACCACAACATGGACCCAGCAGCGCTTAACCCGTCCAGGGAGCTACGGGAAAATCTCATCGATGCCACACAGGAGCTCATCGACCGGTGGCTGGAAAACCCGGGTGGCACGTCCCAGCGCGCTATAGAGAGGCGGCTACAGCGTCTGGTGACCGGTCTCCCATGGCTTCTGGGCTCGCTTTGTTCGTGGGAGCGGGAGTTCCTCCTTTTGGACCTCGGACTTCACCCCCCGTCTGCTTTTACTTTCGAGCAGCCTGAGGCGGTGAGCGAGCGACATGTTCTGGCTTCCCCAGATTCCGGGACTCTGTTTTCTGGGGCTATTCAGAGCGGGATGAGAGACAGTGTAGATAGCTTACCTACCTTCGTGGTAACGGATCCTTCGCAAGTGGGCGTCTACAAACCCTCTGTAAAACCGAGAGACTTTTTCTCTGCCGCTCCTTCTGAGCCAGGACTTTATCACCATTCTCCGGCTCAGTTCTGTGTCCGGCCACAAGCTCTCAGGTCTGTGGCTCAACCGTTAGCCTCCCTAAGGGCTCAATTACCCGTTCTGCCGCCGCTCCGGTTAGCCACTCAGCCACCACCACCGCTAGCATCGCTACAGCCCACAGTTCCGGTAATGGCTGAGCCACAATTTTCGCACTGTTTTTCCACCGCTGTTTCTGGGCAGGGAGACAAACTGTTTCGCTACGGACCTGTTCCTCAACAGCTGGCAACATTAGTGACTGTTACTCACTCCGGGGCTTCCCCAGAGGCTGGGTTACTGCCCTCAGCTTACTCTGGACCCCTGGAGGCCAAGATGCCGGCTGTGAACTGCACCGGGCTGTCACTGCCTGAGCAGGGTCAGTGCTCTGCGCAGCTGCAGCCCTCCGTACGTGCGGCAGAGGCCCACGTGCCTACTGGTTTTGTTTCATGTGTGCCAGAGGCCCATGTGCCTACTGGTTTTGTTTCGTGTGTGCCGGAGGCCCACGTGCCTACTGGTTTTGTTTCGTGTGTGCCGGAGGCCCACGTGCCCGCTGGTTCTGCGGCTGTTTTCGCTGGGGGCCCAAGGACCCGGTCCGGCCTCCTGCTTCGCCTGCTGGGGGCCCGAGGAGCCCGTCCAGCCTCCTGCTTTGCCTGCTGGGGGGCCCGAGGAGCCCGTCCAGCCTCCTGTTTCGCCTGCTGGGGGGCCCGAGGAGCCCGTCCAGCCTCCTGCTTTGCCTGCTGGGGGCCCGAGGAGCCTGTCCAGCCTCCTGTTTCGCCTGCTGGGGGGCCCGAGGAGCCCGTCCAGCCTCCTGCTTCTCCACCTGTGGCTGCTTCTCCACCTGTGGCTGCTTCTCCACCTGTGACTGCAGCGCCGCCTCCTGCAGTACCACCACCGGCAGTGCTACCGCCTGCTACGGCCACACCTCAGCCTGAGGACGCATCCTCACCTGGCCCGGCTTCATCCTCGCCTGGTCCAGCTTCAGTTTCATCCTCACCTGGCCCGGCTTCATCCTCGCCTGGTCCAGCTTCAGTTTCATCCTCACCTGGCCCGGCTTCATCCTCGCCTGGTCCAGCTGCAGCTTCATCCTCGCCTGGCCCGGCTTCATCCTCGCCTGGCCCGGCCTCATCCACGCCTGGCCCGGCCTCATCCACGCCTGGCCCGGTTTCATCCTCAGCTTCATCCTCGCCTGATTCTGGTCCGGCTTCAGCCTCGTCTGGTCCAGCCTTCGTGTCTGCATCCTCGTCTGGTCCAGCTTCGGTCTCGCCCGGTCCTGGTCCGGCTTCGTCCCTGCCTGGTCCGGCTTCATCCTCGTCTGGTCCAGCCTTCGTGCCCGCATCCTCGGCCACAGCATCCTCATCTTCACCCGCAGCGCCTGATCCAGCCTCCGCTTCAGCGTCCTCTTCAGCTTCGCCTGGTCCAGCTTCAGCTTCATCCTCGCCTGGCCCAGCTTCAGCTTCTGCTTCAGCCTCGCCCGGCCCGGCTTCAGCCTCGCCTGGTCCAACTTCATCCTCGCCTGGTCCAGCTTCAGCTTCATCCTCGCCTGGCCCAGCTTCAGCTTCTGCTTCAGCCTCGCCCGGCCCGGCTTCATCCTTGTCTGGTCCAGCCTTCGTGTCTGCATCCTTGTCTGGTCCAGCCTTCGTGTCTGCATCATCGCCTGACTGGCCTTCGTGTCTGCATCATCGCCTGAGCGGCCGCCGTTGCCTTCCGCACGGCCGGCCCCCGGACCGCCTTCGCCTGAGCGGCCGCCGTTGCCTTCCCATGACTGAGTGACTTTGTGTTTGTGTCCCTTATTGTTATTATTCTCTTTATTATTCATGGGCTGTTTTGGGATGGTTTGTGTTTTGGGATTTTAGATACTGGGTTTTGGGTTTGTGCTCCCTCTATTGGTCCCTGGTGTTAGTGTTCCCCTGTCTCGTCAGGTTAATCAGGTCCAGCTGTGTCTCCCACCTGTGTGTGATTTCCCAGTGTCTCTCTGTGTACTTATAGTGTGTGTTTGCCTCTGTTCCTCGTCGCGTCGTCTGTGTTCATACCTGGTGTAATCCCCTGCGTGCTCTCCCTGCTGTTCTCCCTTCATGCTCAGGTTTGCTATTTCTTTGTGTAGTTTCTCCCAGTTAGTTCATCCTTAGTTCTGTTTTACCATCCCCACTTTATATTTGATATTATCAATAAATCACCCTCACACCTGAATAAGTGCTGCGTTTTGAGTCCTCCTTCCACTCTCCACACGGCCGCTGCCCCGGACCGTGACAAAAACAGCATAAAACTGCATTCATAACACTTAGGAGGACTACAAAAAGGTCTGTGAAGCTCCATATTCAGATACATCGAAGTATTAAGGAGTTAAATTATATATTTTGACCTGACCAGCGCACATGTCACCATTAGCTGTTCCACTATTAGCAATTACCAGTTAGCCACATTAGCCCCTTGTTATCGTTAAGCAGTTATCAGTGGGACATCTGGCTTGAGATTTATAGGCAGTGTGAGAATCTTGTAAGTCTTTTGCGAGGCCACTGATAAAGCTGATGAATGCAGAGGGCTCTGCTCTACAGTCGCACTTTCTAGGAATCTTTTCTAAGACTGAAATGACTGAATTCGTTGTTTTATAAAGCAGGAGAATGACCCTATCCATTGGGCTGTACACCTTTTGAAGAATGGGGTCATTTAGGACCCAAATCCTGTATTATTTGGATATTTATTGAGTATTTGGTTTGAAGGTTTGGGCGTCAGATATTCACTTTATAGTTGCTCACTTGGAGACTTTGTTATTATATTTAAGCACTTACCTCTTTATCGTTACAAAAAAGACTTACCGGTACTACTTCACAACCACTTATTGCTCTCCTGGGAAAATTTATATTTTTCTTTCTCTCTGCTGTGACAAACCATCTGAAGACATTTCATTCTCTAGAGCACCAATGTTAGGTGTTTTATAAACCTAAAGGGCCTAAGATCACATGCTTAGAACATAAACCTATTCCCAGGATCCAGGTTTAATTATAGATAGAATTGACACACCTTAGGTTACCTGATTCATTATAGTAAATGGAGGTTATTCCATGGAGAAACCATCTGAAAATTCTAATTAAAAAATCCCGGAAAAATGCGACAAAGAGACCAACTCCTCGAGAGCCTTAAAAAAACAGTGCTTTCTATGGCAGCATTTTTAGCTAGCACCAAAGCAGAAAGATGTTCTCTGAACCAGACGTGAGTTGAGTGCAACACGCTGTCTCCTTCTGACTCTTTTTTTTTACAGATGTTCAAGGGCTCAGACTATACCACACAGACATGTGGTACCAGCCTTCTCAGTTCTATTTGCCACTCTTAAACAACCATAAATCCTCACATGTAATTCATGCACCATATTATTATGGCTGTTTGAGACAAGGCTTACTATTGACTGGTGTATTGACAGTCTCTCACAGGTGTTGTGACTCCAAACAGGGTGCAGGGCTGTCAACATCTTCTTGTTGTTTTGTGAAAATATACCTCAGCGACATGACATGACACGGCATGTTGCTGAAAAGGGTAATTACATATGTGAAGTCTGAGCTAATGTTCGAAGGCTTGTATTGTTTAGTAACAGTTCTTATTCTTCTTCAGGTTCCCAGTCCTGTGTGGGATGTTAACAGACTGGTGTCACGTTAAGGCTGAAGGAGCATGGTGAAGCACCAACCCTTACAGGTCTATGAGAAGCAAGTCTTTGTCTCCTTTGTCACTGGGATCTATGGTTGCCGCTGGAAGCGATACCAGCGTTCCCAGGATGAAAGCTCCAGGGTAAGAATATAGCTCTAACCATAAAGTATGGATGCTATAATAATAGTTAGAACATTGCAAATGCTGTCTTCGAAGTGTGCTATCAACAACATGACCTTTGTGCAAACAGTGTTGCCAACTTAGCGACTTTGTCGCAATATTTAGCGAGTTTTCAGACCCCCTTAGCGACTCTTTTTTCTAAAAAGCGACTAGCGACAAATCTGGCGACTTTTTCTGGTATTATTGGAGACTTATTTATGACGACTTTTTGACGTGAAAACGCGTATCGCTCTTACTCCCAACAAGCAGCGGTGGTGCCTTGGGCACCTCACCCGTGCCAAAGCGCTCACAGGCGGAGGACAGTCCTCCCCCAGCTGCTATCAGAGCAGGAGACGTTCACACCTGTGCATCCAAACGGCAAATGAATCGTGCATGAGCGAAGCCGCTGCTCCGCACTGACTATAACGCAGTCAGTTCTTCCTTTACTGTTATGCTGTTTTGTGGATCACAAGGTTTAAAACTACTTATAAACACACACACACAAAGTAACTCCACCAGAGTGCCAATTTCGGGTCACTTTTGCCGGTCCAGGCCTGGATAAAGGAACAGGGTTGGAATTGTGACATTAAAAAACTGTCAGGAATCGCTGTGCGGCAGGCAGGAGTAGGACCCAAAATGCAGGACTCACAGGCACGAGGGAATGAACTCAAAACTCAGCTTTATTTGCTGGCAGAACAAATATACAAACTAAACTAAACTGGGAAACCACAAACTAAGAACTCACAGAGAGACACAGGGAGATCCACACAGCATGAGGGACGACGTCACGCTGAACAGAGGGAGACGCAGACAGAAATACACAGAGGGTTAACGAGGAAAGTGGGAACACACGGGGAACACAGGTGACACTGATAATCATAACGAGACAGGGCGGGGTGAACTGAACATGACATGTACGGGCGTGAGAGTCACAAAGTAAACAGGAAGTGCTCAGAGGTTCAGACAGGAGGAGAGAGAGCACGGGGAAAACACAGACATAACGGGCTGGGGAAACATGAAACAACCACAAAGGGAGACGAGGGCTCATAAATACATAGAGGGCACACAGGGGGAAGAGAGAGCACGGGGAGAACTTAGACATAATGGGCAGGGGAAACATGGAATAAAACATAAGGAGAGACGAGGGCTCACAGATACACAGAGGGGCACACAGGGGGTAAAAGCCATGAAGGGAAAACACTTAGGGAACAACACAACAGGGCAACTCAGAAAACATGGCCTAAGCAAGGAACAAAATACAAACATACAAGAAAACTAAGAACACTGGGCCAACATGGCCCAGGACCATGACAGTACCCCCCCTCAAGGGCTGGCTCCAGACAGCCCAAACACAGAAAAACAAAACCAAACAGAAAACAACCCAGGGCGGGCGGCGGGGGCCCAGGACGGAGGGCTCGGAACAGAAAACAAAAGAAGAGCACAGCAAACACCGGAGCCCAAGAAACAACCCAAACACAGAGCAGTTCAGGGGGCTGACCATGCGGAAGGCAACGGCGGAGACGTGGAAACAGTTCAGGAGGCCGGCCGTGCGCAAGGCAACGGCGGCGGCGAAGGAGACAACGGAGCAGTTCAGGAGGCCGACCGCGCGGAAGGCGGCGGCGGCCCTCCAGTCCCAGGCGTGCTGGCCATGGCCTGGTGGGCACAGGACCAGACGAGGCAGGACCAGACGAGGCAGGACCAGACGAGGACGAAGACTCGGAGGCAGGACCAGACGAGGACGAAGACTCGGAGGCAGGACCAGACGAGGACGAAGACTCGGAGGCAGGACCAGACGAGGACGAAGAGGCTGAGGCCGGACCAGGCGGAGCTGCAGAGGCTGAGGCCGGACCAGGCGGAGCTGCAGAGGCTGAGGCCGGACCAGGCGGAGCTGCAGAGGCTGAGGCTGGCCCAGGCGGAGCTGCAGAGGCTGAGGCTGGCCCAGGCGTAGCAGAAGCACAGGCAGAGGCTGGCCCAGGCGTAGCAGAAGCACAGGCAGAGGCTGGCCCAGGCGTAGCAGAAGCACAGGCGGATGCAGCCGGACCAGGCGACGACGAGGCGGTCGCAGATGGCGGCTGGACAGGCTCCTCGGGCCCTCCAGCTGATGCGGCGTGAGGCTGAACGGGCCCCTCGGACCCTTCAGCGGAGACAGGAGGCTGAACGGGCCCCTCGGACCCTCCAGCGGAGACAGGAGGCTGAACGGGCCCCTCGGACCCTCCAGCGGAGACAGGAGGCTGAACGGGCCCCTCGGACCCTCCAGCGGAGACAGGAGGCTGAACGGGTCCCTCGGACCCTCCAGCGGAGACAGGAGGCTGAACGGGCCCCTTGGACCCTCCAGCGGAGACGAGGAGGTGCTGGCCGGGCTCACTGGAACCCCCAGCGGACGAGGTAGATGGCGGCGTGGGAGCCGCGGAGTCCTGGATGAGCTCATCCGAGCTTCCAGCAGGAGCTGATGTAGAGCCAGAGAGGTTTGGGACCCCTGGCTGAATGTTAAGCCGAACAGAAGACCGTATTGCTATCGGGGACTGGGCCAATGGTTCAGGTGCGAGCTGAGCTACTGGAGATGCGGATGAGAGTGGGAGCTGAGCTACTGATGGTGGTGAAGTAGATAACTGCACGGGAGACTGAACTGAGGGCGTCTGCACTGGCACAGGGGACTGAACTGATGTCTGTCGTAACGGAGGTGGTGAGAGTGGAGTAGGCAGTGGAGTTGATGACTTCACAGGAGAATGAACCAGAGGTGAGTGCACAGGAGACTGAGCTAGAGGTGGTAGTGATAGTTGAGGGGAAAGTGGAGCTGGTGATTGAGTGGATGACTGTGCTAAGGGATGCTGCACTGGGGACACTGGAGACTGCACTGGGGACACTGGAGACTGCACTGGGGACACTGGAAACTGAACTGAGGGTGGCTGCGAGGGAGCTAACTGAGCTGTGAAGGGCTGCGAGGGAGCTAACTGAGCTGTGAAGGGCTGCGAGGGAGCTGACTGAGCTGGGAAGGGCTGCGAGGGAGCTGACTGAGCTGGGAAGGGCTGCGAGGGAGCTGACTGAACTGAGGGTGGCTGCGAGGGAGCTAACTGAGCTGTGAAGGGCTGCGAGGGAGCTAACTGAGCTGTGAAGGGCTGCGAGGGAGCTGACTGAGCTGGGAAGGGCTGCGCAGGCGATAAGCAGCTCGCATTGACATCCGCCACACTAAACACAGCCCCTGAATGAACAGTCATAATGTCTGGAAAAGACACAGAGTCCTCACTCACCACAGCGGGTGAATTAGAAGGCCGAATGTCCGGCTGTGGGGTGGCGCGTCGGCGGCGTGAATGCCGTTTTCTTCGGGAAGCCGGAGGTGCGGTGATGGAGGAAACCGGCAACGACGGAGAGATCACGGCCGGCTCCTCATCCTCCGACCACATTGCTGCGAGAAAAGCAGCGGGTGAGTGACAGTCAGAGTGGAGGGTGGATGGAGAGGAGTCCAGTGGCAGCAGCGTGGAAACGTTTCCTGATTGTGGCGGTCGCTGTTGCGGTATGACGAGCTCGCGAACTTGTACTGTCTCCTTGGCTTTCTGCAGATTGGACAGTAGGCCCGAAAATCCTGAGAGCTCGTGAAGATTGGGATTCCCCTTGAGAATTGCCTCGATGGCGTTTATCCCAATGGACATCGCTTTAATGTCCGAGGCGTGGGAAACTCGCTCCCACAGGCTGAAGATGCGGGCCAAATCGCTTTCCCGGGAGGAGCCTGCTGGGTCCATGTCTGGTGACGTCGTACTGTCAGGAATCGCTGTGCGGCAGGCAGGAGTAGGACCCAAAATGCAGGACTCACAAGCACGAGGGAATGAACTCAAAACTCAGCTTTATTTGCTGGCAGAACAAATATACAAACTAAACTAAACTGGGAAACCACAAACTAAGAACTCACAGAGAGACACAGGGAGATCCACACAGCATGAGGGACGACGTCACGCTGAACAGAGGGAGACGCAGACAGAAATACACAGAGGGTTAACGAGGAAAGTGGGAACACACGGGGAACACAGGTGACACTGATAATCATAACGAGACAGGGCGGGGTGAACTGAACATGACATGTACGGGCGTGAGAGTCACAAAGTAAACAGGAAGTGCACAGAGGTTCAGACAGGAGGAGAGAGAGCACGGGGAAAACACAGACATAACGGGCTGGGGAAACATGAAACAACCACAAAGGGAGACGAGGGCTCATAAATACATAGAGGGCACACAGGGGGAAGAGAGAGCACGGGGAGAACTTAGACATAATGGGCAGGGGAAACATGGAATAAAACATAAGGAGAGACGAGGGCTCACAGATACACAGAGGGGCACACAGGGGGTAAAAGCCATGAAGGGAAAACACTTAGGGAACAACACAACAGGGCAACTCAGAAAACATGGCCTAAGCAAGGAACAAAATACAAACATACAAGAAAACTAAGAACACTGGGCCAACATGGCCCAGGACCATGACAAAAACAATAATTGCTAAAAGAAATTTAATTTGTAGTTCTAAATAAATTCAAACTGCATTTAGGACGTTTTTTACTCACTTTATGTCTCTTCCACGATGTTATTTCTCTCTCCAGCAGCGTAGGTTACAATTACATTAGCATGACCAATTATGCAAATTAGGCGATGACATCATTTGGCGACTTCTAGCGACTTTTAGGACAGCCGATAGCGATTTTCCTTACTGAGGAGTTGGCAACACTGTGTGCAAACCTTTATGTAACCTTATTCTAATATGCCAATTATCACATAACAGACTGGTAATCACATAACACAGTCCTGCCTAGGCTGCACTGACACTGAGCACACCTCAGGCATAAATGAACTATTTTCAATGTTGTGGTTTCTAAGGCCAGATAAGTAGATCAGGCTGTCAAAAAGGTGACTACACAACGGGAGCCTAATATGTAATGTTCATCTAGGGTCCTGTTGTATTTATACCCTTATCACCCTTTATCTTTAGGCATTAGTCA